CCCCTAGGAACATATTTAAGAGCAAGACAGGCTCGCATTATGGCAGCAAGTCTGACTATTAGGGCTTTACCCCCCCACTGTAGGAGTGCCGGGAATATGCCGTCGGGTCCTGCCGCCTTATAGGGGAGGAAACTGTGAATGGCCCAATGGATTTTGTCCATCGTTACCACTCTCTGTGCTAAATTCCAGTCTTCTGCTGTTGATGTCAGTATGTCGTCATGCCGGTTTGCCTCCTGGGTTACGCAGCAACCTGGGAAGTGCGTTTCAATTAGGATGCGTTGGGCTTCATCCGGCGATGTTGAGTAGCTACCGTCGGGTTTCTTTAGAGACATGGATCCCGACGTGTTCTGTTTAGCTAGAATATTCCTAATCCTATTTGCTTGTTTGCAGGTTTCTATGTTGCCACAGAATTTACGCCACCCAATCGAGCGTCGATACCTGATACATTTTTTGTATTCAGACTTAGCTTTCTTATATAATAGCCAGTCTTCATCCATTGAGGTATTCATGGCCCTATTTAGAGCTTTTCTTACCTTCTTACGTTTTCTATCGAGTTCTTTACCCCACCACGGTTGTTTTACCTCGGCATGTCTTGGTGGAGTGATTTCTGGACATGATTCATGGTAGCTGCCTATCATGGCCTTAGTAACAGCTGCTACCTGTTCTTCTAGGAGCGACTGATCTGCTATAGTATTTATCCCCTCAAAATCCGCTAGCAAAGACGTCAGCCTATTTAGGTATTTTGTTTTATCTGTCTTGCGGGGATTTCTCCATGGTGGTGTAGAGGGGATATCGACCTGTAGTGCGAAGCAGATCCATCTATGGTCTGAGCATGAGGCCTCTCTCGACACATGCCATCCCGTAATTAGTTTGGCTGCTCCTTCTGTTGCAAGTGTGAGGTCGATTATAGTGCGACAGCGTTTGTTTATGAAAGTAGGTTCAGAACCTATGTTTAAAATGGTTAGGTTAGTACTAAATAAATATTCAACTAAAACTTTACCTCGTTCATTTGGTTTTTCCATTCCCCAAAGGGGATGATGTGCGTTGGAGTCCGTCCCGATCACAACTTCTAGTCCGGTCCTCTCGCAGAAGTTCACCAGCCTGCTGAGGTCATGAGGGGGAGGAGTGTCTTCCTCCGGCATGTAGACCGAGGCGACGACTAATCTACTCTCCTGTGTGTACTGTATTTCTACGGCATACATGTCTCTAGAACAGAAATCTGTTAAAGGTTGTGCACAGATATCTTTAGTAGTGTAAATACACGCTCTAGGCTTGTCGTGTTCAGAGCTGTAGAATAACTTACCTTTTAGGTTGTTTAGGCCTTTAATTTTACCAGCCCCAACCCATGGCTCCTGGATTAAGGCTATGGCAGTCCTTTGAACCTCCAACCACTTGCGTAATTGAGCCGACGCAGTTTCGCTGTGGTGGAGGTTGGCCTGCACTAGGCTAGTTTTGGACGAAGGGCACGCCATCATTGATCGCGTCCTCCCCGTCCCCGCCCAAAAATAGGCCTGCCAGAAGATCTCGGGTTTCATCGTCAGCCACCGAGTCGGAGGTGGTCGGCAAAATGCAGTCCTCCTCGTCACTCAGTGAGCTGCCGCTGAGCCCAATCTCCACTGGGGGCTTCGGCTCAATTGTGCAGGCCGTTTCTTCACTGGACTTGGCCTCCAGTGATTCCGCTGTACCGGTAACTATGGCTCCGGTATCCATAACTTCCGGGTTGTTTTCTACCTCTTTGCTCGGTGGAGTATCAAAGAATTTGCCTCCACGACCCTGGAATTTTACGTATACCGCCCCGCATACACATGCGAGACGGCGTCCGGCCTTCATCAGGGTCGGGATATGATCCTCCGGCACCGAAACAACGAGGAACCACCCGTCCGTCTGCTTATCTGCCTTGAGTAACAGCCAGTCCCTGATGTTAACACAGCGGTTCTGGTACGCCAACACGCGACCAATGTCGCGTGAGTCTTTCCAGGCCCCCTGGGCATCAGGGATAAGGATACCACATTTGACTCTTTGTGGTATCTCTGACTGTTTCTTTATTGTCAGCAAGGTGCTGGATTTAAGGTCGAGGGTAGCAATGTTCCCCTTCAACCAGTCCAGAGCCTTCTGATCGTCGCACCACAGTTTCAGAACACCTTCCGTATAAACGGGTTTGCCCCTAAAAACTGGGCCCGACGCATCAGGGTCCTGGCTACTCCAGGCCTCGCTGATCATCTTCCTCTGTATTGCTACGAGGATGTCGTCTGCTACTTCCTTCGTAATGTGACCTGAACGCGCACACGTTAAGGCCACACCCAAATCTGCTTTAGCAGCGGAAGCGTAGCTCGTTCTTGCAGTCTTTGGTTGCTGTTCGAGTCGCACTTTTTTGTGTTCACCTCTAGGCGAGGTGGACTCTTCCAGCATCCTTTTGGCTGCTCTTTCCTTCTTCCCAGGACGCTTGGCCGCTCGCTGCTTCCTGGCGGATATCCTAGAGCTGGTTCCCGCGTCCGCGACTTCCACTTGGGCTGGATTTTTATCCTTCCCAGCTTCAGCGCGGCTACTGGTTCCAGCGCCAAGCACCCCAGTCGCAGTAGCTTGCCCAGCCTCCTTGGTTTTGGTATCTGAAGCAGCCAATGTGGCTCGTTCTCTACGGCCTTTTTCCCGCTGCTTCTTGTTCTTCTTTTTGGCCTTTCCACTACTGCCTGCAGGGATAGACCCTCCTGATGGTCCGTCAGGTCGGCAAGTCACCTTTTTGGGTGCCTTGCCTTTCCCCTTACGGCTCGCCACTTGCCAGGCAGCAGAGAAAAGGTCGTCAGTCCGTAGTGGCTCCGCAGTTTTATCACTTGCGGGCTCTTGTTTCTTTTTCTCTTCCAGCTCCTTGGAACTGGTTTTGGAAACGTTCAGCGAGGTTATCCCTTTGGTGGGGGCACCTACGCTGGACGGTACTGTCCGTGGAACCGTCGGTTTAGTGACGGTTCCCTTTTGTTCTTTGGTGTCTCTGGTAAGCACCTCTGACACCTCTCCCTCTTTCTTATTGGGCCTTAAATTGTCCATAATTTGTGTTTTATAAAATTCATCCCCCCGGCTTCCCACCCTCCATGGAGCCCGCACCTTTGGGAACGCCCTACTTTAGAAGCAAAAGGAATTTCAGGCGTTAGGATTACCGGGAGAATATAGGGACGCGAAGTTGGCTCACAGCGCGACATCGGGAGCTCGATCCAGCTGGTAGATGGGGCTGACAAGGCCCATCCCCACCACCCGAATAAACTGTCACTTGCTCCGTCAGCATGGCCTTTACCACCACCCAGCCCCCTTTTCAGGAAGACTAGGCAGCCCCCACATCCCTCGCCTGCGACCCTCTGACGGGGCGCTTGGCCATTTCCCTATCTGTGGCTAGCAGATAGGGCCACCGTTTAGCTTGAAATCCGGACCAAAGAGGGCGTGTTGCCTCTCGCCACTATATACCCCAGCGACGATCGGCTCAACCCTCCAGGACTCCTTCATCCCCGCGTACGGCGCTCGACTGCGCAGGTCCTAGCGCAGGTGGGTGTGTTAGTCCACCGGATACACCCACTCTCTCCGGCGGATTCGTCCCCTCCTCCTTTCTCATCCGGGCTTGGGACCGGCAACGGCGGAGTTAACTAGGGGCCTCGTACATGACGAGGCATTTATGCGAGAAAACTTCCTCTCCAAACTTTGGCATATGTTCTTTCGTGGCAACAAACGCCAAAAAAATGGAATACGCGCTCTCTCTTTATTTCGAATGACTAAAGCATCTAGGAAAGCTAAAGAATTATTTGTCTCTAACTCCACTGTGAATTGAATTTTGGAGTATATGGGATTTAGGTGTTAATAAGTATAAAACCAGTCACAGTCGAGCGTGTACCTGTTATACTACCATAATTATTACGTCGGAGCAGTCACTGACAAGATTGGCTACATCTAGCAGCGTACCTTCAATTACAATATACTACGACTGCCTCGTTAGTCTAGTGGCTGCAGTAGTGCGAGTGCCCATCATGAGGTCCCGTGTTTGAATACCGGATCGGTCCAAAAAATATCAGTTATTGGATCTTTCCATCAAAAAGTTCTCAGTAGCTGCCCGGAGTCAGGAAGTTGGCGGTGTCTCACCCCCGTGCCTCGAAAGAAAGTAAAGCCGTTGGTCCTGCGCTTGATATTTCTCCCGTCGTTTACCATCGAATCGGACTATGAGAGTGAGGGAATAGAGAGAGCACCTGTGCTTGCGCATACACTTGGGCACTATGATCCTGACTTGCGCCGATATCTTAACCGTTGAGGCTGGCCGCCGTGACCGAAATTCGGTCTGTAGGACATTATTTGTTATTACTACAAGCCGCTGAAGAAGATTAGTGAGTTTTTAGCATCAGTTAAGTGTAATATCCGTTTACAAGATTGGACAAGCTTGATTGTAAATGCAGTCTCTCTTACATAAGTCAAACAAAAATATCGATAAAATCCATGTTAAAAAACATGGCTGACGTAAAGCACCGACGCTACGTTAAGTCTAGTCTGTGACCATTTTCAAGAATGTTCTCGCCATTACATTAGATTTAATAAACCACAAATCCTCACAAAAGAACATCGGTGCATACTAAGGATGATTCGTGAGGCTATTGAAATTAAAAAAAACATCCAAATTTCAAAAGAGAAGATTGTTCGGTACAACCATCTACTTGGGATCCTATAATTAATCAAATTAAATCGAAACTCAACCATATTACGTTCTGCTTAGATAGAACCAAAAATTAATATTAAAAAGCTTAAGGTAACCCTGGTTAACTAAGACTTCAGGACGTCAATTACCTGAGTACCCCCTTAACCATGGGTGCGGTAAAGTACCCGAAACTTCAGGAATTTAACGAACGATAAAATTCGTAAAATGACTAATATCAAAAATCAAATAGTATTTAATAACTACGAGTATAATAAATACCTATTGAATATTAACGATTTTGGATACTATAGATTTTAAACGTTTAAATTTTTAACAACAGGGCAATCGCAAACTAATATTTATAGACAGCCATACGAGGCTGAGCGATTTCGTGGACCCCGAGCAAGTAAAGTTGCCGGGCACTACGCTGACACTAGAAGAGGATCTTAAAGTGTTCAACAATGCACTGAAACTGTCGCATAAGGACACCAAAGTGGCTATTAAGGTACACAACTTTAATATTTCTAATTTATTTAATACAGACAACAAATTGACGGCTCCGTGGCGCAGTGGCTTAGCAATAAGTTACAGCACCATGGGCTGCGGTTTCGAATCCCGCACGGTACAAGTATTTGTATGGCCTTCAAATAATTGTTCCGGGTCTGCATGTTTGTCCTTGTACAATTTATGTATGTAAACTGCCCCCACGATAAGGAGAAAATCCTAGTGTGGAAGTAACGGTTTTTAAAAAAATTGGTAAAATAATAAAAAAATAGAATTAACATATTATGACAGAAATAGAAATTATACGGTACACATATATTCCACATATTGAACAAGTTACATTATTACAACAGAAGCCTCTAGATTTATTAATTTAATTTATAACAAAAAATATAGATAATATAAATTACTTTAATAACTTATTAAAATTTATAAAATGACAAGTAATATTAAGTATATATGTAGTACCTGCTTATTAGGTATATATAGGAGGTCCGGTCAATTTCACCATCGCACTGTGACTGTGTGACAACAGAACTCGAAATACCATCCGTATCATCTGGATGATTGATTGCAATTTAGAAAAAGTTTTTTCCCCGCTCAACTCCCTTGTGGAATCGAATACCACCAATAATTTTTCCGGACCCATACCGACTTAGGGACTTTCAAGAAAAGAGCCTACTCTTTGTTTCTTTTATCTGCGATTCCTCTAACGTTGCAGTTGTTCATGGGCGGCGGTAGTCACTTACCATCAGGTGAGTCGTATGCTCGTTTGCCTTCTCTCATATAAAAAAAGAATCTCTGGTGACATACAAATGGCGGTATCTTAGCTTTAAAATACCGATCCCCAAGATTGGTTCCATAGATTGGTGAATGGAAGGAGCTTTACCAAAGTGATGATATCTTATAGGCTTTGCACTCACCATAATCCAGTCCAGCGTAGTGAGTATGGGGAAATCTGTCGTCTGCCAGTCTTTATTTAGTTATGAAAATGTCATTCAGCAATGGATATAATTTTTACAGGCTAGTATAGATTTTTTTGTTTTTAATTGTTTTTAAACATAATATCTTACTTTCTAATTATATATTTCCGATTTAGAACAAGAATTGTTTTTCAAATATTTGTCTTAACGTTTCACAAAAAAGGTTGGACCTACTGCACTTCAAATAACGGCAGTTGAGAAGACCAAGGTGTTGGGGACACCAGTTCTGCTTAATGATGTTTACTACGCCTCTGAAATCGATGAGGTAATAGATAATAAGACAGTATTATTTTATAGTTATACTTCAGCTGAACTGATAAAATATGTAATCATTGCAGTTAATATATGTAAATAATTATTTTATTACTGTGCTAATAATAGTTTAATTTGATAAAAAAATATGTGTATTTTTTTAACTGTTATTAATATATTTAAAAACATCTGTTTTAAAATTACATTCAAATTGGTCGACAATTCTTTTCACACAGGTGTGCTTGGTGGATGACAACCAATTTTCATTAACAATAATCAATGATCCGACACCGCTGAGTTTTATACATAATGATTGCGACAACATCCTACAATCAATCATTCATATACGCAGCCGCTGGGAACTTAGTCAGCCAGTAAGTTATACGGCAATTCCATTACTCATTTAATATTGAAGATTGTGTCTGTTTTAAAAAAACTTCAAGTTTTTTAAATGTCTTTTCTAAAGACTTGTACAAAAAGTTCCAGAGCTTTTTATAACTAGACTATGACTAGCCTAGGGGTAGGTCAATTTTTAAGTTTGTATATTAAGAAATCTTCATTTCACTTTCAACTGCACATTTATATGTAAAACTGATATCTAATACACAAAATATAAAACAATGCCATGAATTTCTTTTATATTTTGTTGTGTAATACACTCCACAGACTTAACTCCTTCAAAGAATTAAAAGATAAACATTTGAACTCATACAAAATTTAAAATTCTTTGGCGACGATCTTTACCCTATGCTAAAACGTATTTATTTTAAACTTTTAGCTCTGTGCGACTGTGTGTAAATATGCACGTAAACAAACGATAGGTAAATAAGTGTTTGACAATGGCAGTATGAAAGTAAACAATGAATGCTTTATTTCATATACTGGTTAGACATACTATATATAAATTTTAGCTTTCTCCACTCCTCCATATAAACTTGCGAAGTAATTCCGTTAATTTAAGCAGAGTAGACAGTAGAGTAGAGTTATTTACGCTATGGAACAAAGATTTTTAGCATTTTTTAAATCAACCGTTTTCTGTGATTCATTAGTTATGTGTTTATTGGATTGTAAAACCGTGATAGCAGAAGAGAACAGGAAGAAAAATAAGCAATGATATTTTTATTACAGCAAGATTCCGTAACCGTACACCAAAAGATCCGACCTAAAGACGTGCCGGGCACGCTGCTGAACATGGCGCTGCTGAACCTGGGCTCGTGCGACCCCAACCTGCGCACCGCCGCCTACAACCAGCTGTGCGCGCTCACCGCCACCTTCCACCTCAAGATCGAGGGCCAGCTGCTCGAGACCTCCGGTACCGGCCGCTCTACTCACTTACCGTGCTGCGACAACGAGCGCACCCCTTCTGTTCCGAGGGCGTCTTTTGTTTTCTTCAATTTAAGTACAGGATGCCAGCTTCTCGAATCTTCTAGTAGCAACTGCTCTGTGTATTAAAAAAACAAGAACAACAAGAAGTCCTATCCTGTCTCATCGGCGTTGTATGGTTTGGTTTTGGACTGGCCATGCTGCCTGCTACGCAATGCAACCAATGACAATATCGTATCTTAAAGAAAATCTGGGCCACGTACACCAGGAACTGGACATAGGTCATATAGGCTGATGGAATGTTTATTATGAAAATTAATTTTTAAATTAGTTTTATTTTTGTAAAACTCACCATCAACACAGATGAAACAAAAAAAATTATAATCAAAATGATAATAATCTATAAGATCAATTTATTGAGGACTATGTGTGTGAAAATCTTAATCTCCATTTTGTAAGTCCTTAGGTTACTAAAATATTTTAATTGAAAATATTATTCAACAATTATTATGGCATTAGCTAATTTCATATTTCATTTAAATTGGCAAAAAATATGCGTATTTTTTTTGACATTTTGACATTTGTAAATAAAATTACTTTTTAGAAATTAATTTCATATTCATAAACACACGCTTGTCACCCAGAGGGATAGGCAGTGACTACGGACTTCCATTTGGAACGATCTTGACACACTTCTCTCGCCTCCTCTACATTCATGTACCTACGCGTATGCCAATCGAAGAGCATGTATATGCTCTTCGATTAATGGTACTCTTAATCTGGCCCATCTTCAATATATCGCCAATTTGGTCGGTAAACTTCTAGGGCGTCCCCAAATTAATATGCAATATACATTATATTTTTCTATATACATTAAATTAATGTGCAATATAAATCATATTTTATTGCAGGTCTGTGTATTCCATCAAATAACACAATATTTATTAAATCAGTGAGCGAGAAATTAGCACACAACGAACCACACCTCACCCTTGAATTTTTAGAAGAATGTATACAGGTGATTTCAATTTGTTATTAAAATTTATTTTGATTAATAATCTTCGTTATCCGAACGTTGTGAAATTGGGCAATCGTCAAGGTAATGCGATTTCCGAACTGTTTATATCCAGCAGTTAAGTTAAAAATACTGTTGTCCATATAACAAATCACTAACGGCACTGCAGCTTTTTGAACTTTTATAAGTTTTGCGATAATTTGTAAACAGACAGATATGGACAGATATAAGGATCTCGCCATAATATATTTTCTTTACATTTAGTTGTTACAAATCTATTAAACAAACTGAAGAATTTAAACATTTCTATTATTTCTTAATTTTATAGTAACAAACGAACTAGCATCTAATGGTATAATTCTACTGAAGCTCATGGACATCATCCGCAACCAGTTTTAAATAAAAACTCAAAGATGTATTGTCAAAGCCTGCAATTATGTTTCAAAGTTATTTTACCTTCAAACTGTAACTTTGCTGATTGGTGACAGAAATGGATTAAAGTCTGGAACCAAACTAGATGGAATTCTACACAAAACCCTTTTTATTGGAAATGAGGCATTCCATCTTAGTCCTCACGGGTGATAACGCATCTGCATTTTGATTTTTAATGGAGGATAGATGTAGACGTCTATGGGCCGCAGCCACCACTTACCATCAGGTGGACTGTGTGCTCGTTTGTCACCCTTATCCTATAAAAAGGTCCTAGTATCTTGTGTAGTACTGTTAATAGATTGGCTACATTTTTATACTGTCTCGCTGGCTTATACATAACGTATTTTATCGTTCTAGGGTTTTAGCGGATCTACAATAGAACTGAAGCATTTATGTTTAGAGTATATGACCCCTTGGTTAGCGAATTTAGTTAGGTGAGTATATAATATAAAAGTTTAAACTTATTAAATCCTATTTTGTACATAAAAACCGGTCCCATTTTATAACAGTAACATGCTGGTGACCTGTAACTCAGGTCAGGTTCAATATAAAACCTATAATAGGCCTCAGTGTTTCCACAACGTTATGTCTTTACTACATTGTTACTGTAAACTAGCCATTAAGTTGTGAAGGGATAAATAAATTGAGTTGAATTTAAATTTTCCGCAATAATAATGCTTAATACTACTTACTACTACTATGTCAAAAATTTTTGAAAAAGTCATACATAACCGCTTAGTAAATTACTTAAATTCTTTTAACTTTATATCAGAACGGCAATATGGATTTAGAGCCAAAAGTAGCACCACTACCGCAACGATCGATCTAACGACGAAAATAAAAGATAGTATAGATAAACGGCAAGTGGTTTTAGGTGTTTTTATAGATTTAAAAAAAGCCTTTGATACTGTAAGTCACAAATTGCTATTAGAAAAACTTGAAAGAATCGGTATCAAAGGAAGTGCTCTTAAAATACTTAAATCATACCTATCAAATAGATTGCAAGTAGTGAAGCTGGATAATTTTCAAAGTAGTGCCTTACCTGTCACGCATGGCGTGCCACAGGGATCCATACTGGGACCACTCCTATTTCTAGTCTATGTAAACTACATCGCAGAACTAGGGCTACATGGTCATATAACTCTGTACGCTGACGACACATGTCTGTTTTATTTCGGATCTAATATACATGACATTATCTCGCAAGCGCAAGAAGATCTAGAACTATTGTTTGAGTGGTTCCAATTCAATTTGCTAACGGTAAACACTTCTAAAACATGTTACATAATTTTTAAATCAAAAAACAAAACTATACCATTACATGACCCACTGACAATTGATAACATCCCCTTAGAACAAAAAACCTGTGAAAAATACCTAGGCTTGAGAATGGACAGCTACTTAACATGGAATAACCAAATAGATCACATTAAAAATAAACTTTCGGCACTTACTGGATCACTTCACAATATTTCCCATTGCCTACCTAAAAAAATGCGGTACACTATTTATAACTCTTTAGTCAAATCACATTTAACTTATCTTATTGAAATTTGGGGCAACGCTGTTAAAACTAAGTTACAGGAACTTCAAAGGATACAAAATAAAATAATAAAAATACTTTTTCACTATCCGTATCTAACACCAACTTGTAAAATTTTCAAAGAAACAAAACTTATGAACGTTCAACAACTACATATATATAATACTTGCATTTTAATTAGGAAAATACTTGATAAAACCATCCACACTAACTTGTCTTTTGTAAAGAAATCACAAATTTTGAAACGCAGTCTTCGTCGACCTAGCTTACTTGTACTACCAAAAGTACGAACAAATTACGCAAAAAAAAGCATTACTTTTGAAGGAGCATTGATTTATAATAAATTGCCTTGTAATATAAAAAATGTAAGCTCATTCAATAGTTTTAAGTCTCAGCTGTCTGAATATATAAAGGAAAAATTTTCACCATTCAATTGAGATTGTGAAGCTTTAGAGTGAGTGTTCGGCGACCATTAGAATAAAATTAATAAAATGTAATAATTATTTTCATGTAAGTGGCATTGTTTGTCTTTTTGAAAATAAATTCTTTAAACCTACTACTAAAACCTTACTATGAAATCTAAAATTGATGAAGATTTATTTTTGATGATGAAATAGTAGTATTTTTTTTTACTTCCCTAGTCTATATTGTACACGATTAGTTTGTCAATAGAGTATGTGTGTGAGGGGACTGCCTCCTGCTAGACAGCGTCTAGCTTGGGAGTCAGGGCGACACTGATATGTTTATGAGCTATTTTATCACCGTTCAATAAAGATTATTAACAAAAAAAATCACGTGTAACTCGACCCAACATTACCTTAAATGATTGAGAGATTTAAAATTATAATCCATATTCATTGTTTTTTCTTGTGTTGTTCACTTTTAACAAAAAGCTTATACACTAATTTAAAGTGACAAAAGTTTCGAAACTGTTAGGTCAACAAATATTTCACTTTAGCTGCTTAAACATGAAACATTATATATTATAATAATAGGTAGTCTTAAGAAGCTGCTTGTGTATATTACATTGCTGCTGGCGTGCGTAACTGGCGTAAACTAAAAAATACTTATTATTTTGTCACTACAGATTCTGCAAGCCATCTGATGAATCTCGACGTCAAAAACAAGTAGCTCAGATATTGGAAAAGCTAATAACGTTAACAATCGAGGAGACAGAAATGTACCCTTCGGTGCAAGCCAAAATCTGGGGCTCCATTGGACAAGTGCCCGAGCTTATCGATATGGTGCTCGATAGCTTTATTCAGAGGAGCGTCAACTCTGGTGAGTCAGTCATTATATCATAACATTTTAATGTGTAACAGAACTTATGGCCATGCAGGGTATACGTATATTAAGCGTTTTTAATTTCTTGTTTGAAATTTAAAACCAGAAAATTTTGATTATAACTAAGGGTTAATTTTACATTATTTATATTATAGGCTTAGGATCACCAATGATTGAAATAATGGCGGACACGGCGGTAGCGCTCGCTTCCGCTAATGTGCAGCTCGTGTCCAAGAAAGTCATCGGCCGCATGTGTCGGGTACGTTGATATAGGCAAACACATCTAGCTGTGGCTGTTACGTGTTTATTAACTGCTGCCTATTTAATGTTTATGGCAATGCTTAGTTTTTTGTAACTAGTAGTACTACTAGTATTTTTATAAATGTACTGCAGTGTCATGTTAATTGAAGTGCTCTATAGAGCTGTCAAAAAGAAACTTCCATATAAAAGAGTTAGAGTAAAAAAATCGTAGTTTCTTGTAACCAAATAAACAAAACTTTTTAATAATGAAAAAAATTAATTATTACTAAACGATATGCTGCCAAGTTTTGATACACTACTAAAAGTAATATTATTGAACTGCATGATGTATTTATTTCTCAATAATGTTGTCTATTACCCGATTGGTAAATTCGTTTGATTATTGTAGAGTTGACTGGTAGTGTGTGCCTCATGGCATTAAGTCCGACCATTGTATTATTTTTTATAAGGAATACCATAAATAATAAATAAAAATTGTTCGTGACAAAAAAATTATCAAGTAACTGCTAATTTTAAAAGTACTGCGGGATTAGCCAAGTAGATCCTACAATCATAAACACTTAAATAATCATAATAATTAATAAAAACAACGTTGAGATATCATTCCTATCCATCCCACTAATCCTACTTCCTACTAATATTATAAATTTAAAAGTTTGTTTGTATTATTATTATTTCAATTCATTTTTCAATGGATTTTAATGAAATTCGATATTATTATAGGTAACATTCCAGAATAGGACATATGTTAGATTATTTTTTACCGATGAATTGGACTTCTTATATCTATCATAGATTCATGACAATAACTGCTCCTTAGTTTAAAAAAAGTACTAAAAATATTACGAATTATTCTATAGAGTATAGCGTCTACATATATATAATATATTTTTGTAACTTAACGAATATTTTATTGCATGTCTTAAGCGCGAAGCGCGTAGGTATCTTCTACTAGCGTCTAAAAATTAAGATTCCAACGTTTTGTCGCATGAAATCGTATCTTACAATCATATTGTACATATAAATGATATAAAAAAACACATTGTCAGAAAGATAAATGATTGTGGAACTTACTAATTTTTTTTTCAAATCGATTAATTGCTATTTTCACATAAAATAGTGGTTTTAGTGGCTTATAGTCTGAATTTTTCAAGTGCGCATGGTGCGGTAAACACGATAACTTTTGAAAATATTAATTGTTCAACTCAATCTATTTTTTAGACTCTTTATCGACCACATAGGAAGCCATGAAATGTAAATGGCAATTTAATTTTGTTTTGTTTAGTTATAATTAATTTTTTTCGGCTGAGAAATGCCGAAATTTACGGTATTTTTTACTCGCCGTCGTGAGTGGTCGTTTGTTTACAGCGGTTCGTGCTGAAAAATATCGATCGCTGTAGAAATACAAAACGTTCCAAGAACCAAATTTGATATATACTTGACCAAGGTAAGATATTATTATTATTATTATTAGTAATCAGAATTCGCGAGAAACTAGTTCGCCTTCCTTCGGGAATCCGTGCATTCTGGTCTCTCGCCAAGGCTGTCCAAAGGAATTTCTGTAAGCCATCACTACCATCTCTGCACAGGGAGAATGACTCACTGGTCCACGCCGCAAAAGAGAAAGCCGACCTTTTAGGCTCCATTTTTGCGTCCAACTCGACTCTTGATGACGGGGGGAACACACCGCCGACCATCCCGCAGTGTGAGTGCTCCATGCCTGATGTGTGATTCACACAGTGCTCAGTACGCAAAGCACTCCTCTCCCTGGACATCCACAATTCGAGTGGGCCTGTCGGAATCCCGCCAATTGTGCTGAGGACGTGTGCTCCAGACTTGGCACCGGTTCTAACGCGTCTTTTTCGGTACTTCTACTCCTTAGGCGTCGTCCCGAATTTATGGAAGACGGCTTTCGTGCACCCGATCCCTAAAAAAGGTAACCGCTCTGATCCGTCCAATTTCAGGCCTATCGCCATCACCTCCTTGTTCTCGAAAATAATGGAGTCCATTATTAACTGCTGCCAGCTCATGCGGTACCTTGAGGAACCAGCTGATTAGTGAACGCCAGTACGGTTTCCGTCGGGGTCGCTTAGCTGGTGATCTTCTTGCGTCCAGGGGGGGGGGGGGGCATTGGCAGTTAGTTTGGATATATAGAAGGCATTCGATCGGGTCTGGCACAAAGTGCTTCTTTCGAAGCTTCCTTCCTATGGGTTTCCCGAGATATTGTGCAATTGTATCACCAGTTTTTTGGCTGATCGGAGCATCAAGGTCGTAGTAGACGGTGCGTGCTCCGATTATAAGCCTATTAACGCTGGTGTTCCACAAGGCTGCGTGCTATCACCAACGCTGTTTCTTCTGCATATCAATGATATGTTGCAAACTGGTAACATTCATTGCTGTGCGGATGACAGCACTAGTGATACTTCATACACCGGCCGTGCCAATATTTCTCGGGAAAACGTCGCCGAGTACCGGAACAAACTTGTCCAATCCAAGACTTTATTCAACAAAGTCTCTGATTGGGGGCGACTAAATCTAGTCCAGTTCAATCCCCAGAAGACACAAGTTTGCGCGTTTACCACTAAAAAGAAACCCTTTGTCGTGTCTCCTCAGTTTCAAGGCACTCCCCTTGTTGCCTTAGCCATTATCGGAATCCTCGGCGTCGACATATCGAGTGACATGCAGTTTCATGGTCAATTGGAAGAGAAGGCCAAATTGGCCTCTAAAAAGCTTGGCCTCACATGGAATACTGTTCACATCTCTGGGCAGGGGCTCCTCAGTGCCAGCTCCTTCCACTTGACCGCATCCAGCGCAGAGCGGTTCGAATCGTCGACTACCAAGTTCTTTCCGATCGGCTTGACTCACTGGCATGGCGTAGAGATGTTGCATATCTGCGTATTGTATCGAATGTACCACGGGGAGTGCTCTGAGGAATTGTTCGGACTAATTCCAGCCGCTCATGGTGAAACCATCGCACATCGCGACAAAACTCGCGATACCATGCATAACATCTGGATGATTGGCGGTCCACTACTGTGCGACTTGGAAGATGTTTTCTTCCTCGCACAACTTTCCTGTGGAATCGATTATCACCAGCGACCGATACACCTTAGGGACCTTCAAGAAAAGAGCTTACTCCTTTTTAAAAGGCCGGCAACGCGTCTGCAATTCTCCTGGTGTTGTAGTTGTTCATGGGCGGCAGTAGTCACTTACCATCAGGTGAACCGCATGCTCGTTTGCCCCCTCTCCTATAAAAAAATCACAGATTTTTAATACAATATTTTGTTTCGCTAAAAGTAGGCAAGATTTATATATAAATATACGTCTTGTACTTTATGGAAACCTGTAAGTGTACTTCGGTATCTGCTACTGGAACTCGTTTTGTTAGTTATGATGAGACCTTACCTCCGGACTTGATAGAGTGACTTGAAAGTGTACTTTGATGACTGTTACTGGAACTCCTCGACGAGGAGAACTAGATGTGCTGAGTTTGACTTCGTTTTGTTAGTACTTTTTGACGAATAGAACTATTCATATTTTTTTTACGAATAGAAATATTAACATATTCATTCATTCATTCATTCATTACAGCCCTTCACAAGTCCACTGCTGAACATAGGCCTCCCCCAAAGAATGCCACAAAGCACGGTCCTGAGCCACCTGCATCCATCGACTCCCTGCATGTCTTACCAGGTCGTCACTCCATCTCGTGGGGGGACGCCCTACACTTCGCCTACCGGTACGAGGCTGCCACTCGAGAACCTTTCTTCCCCATCGGTTGTCGGTTCTTCGAGCTATATGGCCGGCCCACTGCCACTTCAGCTTACTAATCCGTTGGGCTATGTCGGTTACTCTGGTTCTACTGCGGATATCCTCATTCCTAAGTTTATCACGCAGAGAAACTCCGAGTATAGCCCTCTCCATAGCTCGCTGAGCGACCTTGAGCTTCCTCATACGGCCAGCAGTGAAGGACCACGTCTCAGTTCCGTAAGTCATCACTGGCAACACGCACTGGTTGTACAATTTCGTTTTAAGGTTTTGAGGTATGTCTGACGAGAAGATGTGTCGTAGCTGCCCGAACGCTGCCCAGCCGAGTTGAATCCGTCGATTGACCTCTCGGTCGAAGTTGGACTTACCTAGTCGGACTATTTGTCCCAGGTAAACATACTCGTCAACAACTTCGAGCTTAGTGCTCCCAACAGCTACCGGCATAGGTGTGACATGGACATTAAACATGGTCTTTGTTTTGTCCATGTTCATCTTAAGACCTATCCGTTGGGAAACACTATTGAGGTCATTGAGCATAGTGCTTAGATCCTCCAGCGATTCTGCCAGGACTATATCGTCGGCAAATCGAAGGTGAGTGATGTACTCGCCATTGATGTTGATACCGTATCCTTTCCAGTCCAGAAACTTGAAAACGTCTTCCAATGCAGCGGTGAAGAGTTTCGGGGATATGACGTCACCCTGTCTTACACCTCTCTGCAATTGGATAGGTTTCGTACTCTGGTTCTGTACTCGGATAGCTATCGTAGCCCTACTGTACAAGCACTTCAACACTTCGATATACCGACAGTCAACTCGGCACCGCTGAAGGGAGTGCAGCACTGCCCAAATTTCGACGGAATCAAAGGCTTTCTCATAGTCCACATACGCCAGACATAGTGGCAAATTGTACTCTTCGAACTTCTGTACAATTTGCCGAAGGGTATGTATGTGGTCTATTGTGCTAAAGCCCTTTCGGAAACCGGCTTGTTCGGGAGGCTGGAAGTCGTCAAGTCTGCGCGCGAGACGATTCGTAATGACTCTCGAAAACAGCACGTAGACGCGGCTCAGAAGGGAAATCGGTCTGTAGTTCTTCAAGAGAGAGTTGTCACCTTTCTTGAAGAACAAGACCACCGCACTTCTGCTCCACGCCTCCGGTGTAATGCCACCATGGAGGACGGAATTAAAGAGCTTCTGAAGGACTTCAAGTACCGGTCTTCCACCCGCTTTCAG